CCTGTTGTATATCCTAACTGCGGGTCATTACATCCGAAGTGAGTGTCCAAAAAGAGTTGTGCAGATGCTTCATCATCGAAGATAATGTTATTTTCTTTTCCAACCTTTTGCCACAGCTCCTTTGATGAGACGAAAGGTCCAACCTCATTTGGTAGTTCTTCAAATTTATTCCTGATTTCTTCTCTTTTCTTCCTCTGGAAAAGCGCAGCCTTGCGTTTAAACTCTAGCAGGTTTTCCATACTGGCTATCCGGTTGAAATTTTTCCTGGCCTCGTTTTTCTCTTTCCATGCCGCATCTACATCGTCAGACCACCAATACTTTGGCGATCTTCTATCCTTCTTCTTGTTTACCTTATAAATCCTTTTCACGCATTTTTGAAGCTCTTGAACAGATCGAACCTCAGCCGTATCCAACTTTGATATACACTCATTTATCGCCTTTTTATCGTAAAAATAGCCAGATTGAATATTTCGTGTTTGCATCCAACATATTTTAACACATTTATGGTGACTGCCTATACCATAGTCCAATGTACTCCATCCCAATGAGTATACTAAATCGGTTGAACATAATGAAATATCGATAGCAGACGAACGGTGATTCAGCTGCAGTGGAACGTACGTTGGGGATCCGTCATTTAGTATTAACAATCCACTCTGATTCACCTTTTCCATCACGATCTTACCTTTTTTGTCACATGTTCCATCACCCCATCCAAAATGGTGAGCGTTAAAGTCACCGCCAATGATAATTCTCAAATTTCTCAGGCTCGTGAAGATAAAGTGCATATCGTTTTCGAATTCAGCCGCCGTAATGGACGGACTGACATAGACAGCTGTTACAACAATATCGAGATAGTTGACATGAATACTGACCGCTTGAGTCAGACGTGACATGCCTGTTAGCGGTATTCTAGTATAGCTCAAGTTGTTAGTTAACAAAATTCCTGCTCCTCCATATCCATCTGTCCCTCGAATGAGGAATAAAATGAAAGCCGGACATATTGTATTTATTCGAATCCTCAAAGTTTTCCTGAGTCCATGTTTCAGAAAGTATAGCAATAGAATAATCCGATCCTGTCATTACTTTGTGGATTTCTGCTTTGTTTTTAAAAAAACTTTGAACATTCGATTGTAGAATTTGAATTCTATTCGAAGCCATTTTATTTATTGTGTAAATGCTTGGTTAGTTACCACTGTGTTAGCGAGATTGAAATGCTTTTTCGTGCACATATTGAACATATTTTTCACGTCGTCTCGTTGGCCCAACATTCCAACGAAATCAGAATAAAAGCTCATCATAGCTTCTTGGTGCATTCTGTTCGAAATTTTGTGAGCTTCTTGCATCATAGCTTCCCAGCGTTCTGTTTCTGTTACCTTCAAAGGATTTTGCAGTGCAGCTCCTGATATACTACCATTCTGTGTATTCTTGATTAACTCATTCCTCTGTTCCTTGTTTTTATTTGCATTGTTTGATGTCACCAGTCTGGGTTTCTTTCCTTGTTGTTTTTCTTTCTCCTCCTTCCGAATTTGTACTGCAGCCTGAATAGCCTTTCTCTCCTGGTTCGTTTTGATTAACTGCTCTCGTAGGGGATCTTTCCAAGTGTAATTACCTTTCACCATCGTCGAAAAGTTTTCCTCAATGGTTGGAAACTCGTCCAGGTTCATAAGTGGTTCGTAAAGTTTTTGGGTAGCAGTGGGGACCTGTTCTCTGGCCTCCGTGTAAGTCAGGTTTTTCTTGGTCATCAACTTTTTAATTTTCAGCTGGCGTTTCTGTTCGGGGCATGTTGCATCCGTTGAGTCGTGATCCGAGCTACGGCAATGAACACATTTGCGTTGGTTTTGGCAATTTGTGAACTCTTCATTTTGTTCGTGGCTTTGACTGCATCTGTCACATCGTCTGTTTCCCCTACAGTTGTCAGTACGATGTCCGTATCTTAGGCAGTTTCTGCAAATAACGACCTTTGGCGTAAAGGCATTCACGCGGCTGACGCAGCAGAACTTTTTTACCATTGTTGGTAACTCTTGCGCTCGGAATGTGATGCACAGCCGGTTGATCGGAATCCTGTTTTGGCCATCCCATCGTGACATTCTGGTGACTTTCAAAATTGGAACCCCGCAGTGGATATCCGACTTGATTTCGTCAATATTTATGTCCGTTGGAACTCCCGGAATTACCCCGGTGATGGACACAAGGTGTCTGGGAACATATGCACGATAGATGCTACTTCCACTGTTGATTTCATCGACTAGAGAATTCGCTTTGGTGTAGCTGCTGATGAATACGATGATTTTGTGCAGTCCTACGTACTTCATGTCAGTAATGAATTGTTTGTAGACATCCATTCCGTAGCTCAAAATAGATGCGATATGGTCCGGTATCCATGCTGGTGTAGGTGATATTTTGCTGTACTCTTCCTGATGTCGCAGATCCTGTTCCTGATGTTGTCGGTTCATCTCTTCCTGTCATGGCATTAGTTCCTGCTTCCTTCCGCTTGGGGTCTTCTGCTCCTTTCTCCCGATCAGGGGGATCTTTTTTCTCCATAATCACTCCGACTTTCATCTCTCTTCTTCTTTTTTACACTTTTTTTTTCCACACGTTTATATTCAAGGAGAATATAAAAATGGCGTCCTTCCGCCGATCAACAATTTGTTTCGCTTAGATTTCGACTGTTATTCACTTATTTCTTTCTTTTGCTACGATTAATTTTTTCTTCGATACACCTTTTTCTTTAAAACACCACGATTTCTACAATAAACCACCGAACAAGCACAATTTTTCAATTTGAAAACGCTCTCCGAAAAAGAACAACACCTTCACCTATGAAATTGAATCATCCAATGGTCATATGCGTCATGAAACCTCTACTCATGAAAGACAACAGATCAACGTCGAACGCTCTTTCACTTGTCCGCTTTACCGAAGCTTGAAAGATACACGGATGCAGCGACGGGAGAAAGAACCACAAACGATTCAAATTTGTTTGTAAGGGCCTGTTCATAAACTACATAGACAGTTTTTTTGGGATTCTTGACCCCCCCTCCCCCTGCGTAGACAATTATCCATACAATTTTTTTTAAATTTGTATGGGCCGTGGATAATTGTCAACCCCCCCCCCCCCTAAACTGTCTACGTAGTTTATGGACAGCCCCTAAACGCCGACTGAAAGCACCGGCACGGGAGTCCCCATCGCTATTTCCGAGCTCCATATAGCAACTTATGCCCGCAACGGTAGTAGCTAAACGGGGTTGGGAAATGACAACGCAAGAAATAATAAATGATGAGTTTTCATATTTGGCGCCCCACTAAAACTCTGCTTTGGGTTTTGCTTGTGACGCTATTTTGTTTGCTTATGACACTAAGTACTGCTTTGATTCAAACTATGGTGAGCCCTGCGCTTTGGTTAGATAGGGTATAGAGCGTCGTTGTGCCAATTTGGTTTGGTCGTGGCACATTTCGAGTATGAGAGAGTGATTGCAGTTTGCTCAAAAGTGCCTGAGTAAAATGCAAGTACTTTCGATGATTACCCGTACTGCCTATAATCGCATATCAGTCCCATATGGATTTTCGTCAATTTGTCGTCGTGTAATGTAAATATTTACATCGCTTGTACCGAAGAATTCTCGTTTATGTCTGGACTCGTTTGCCATACAGAAAATTTTTTATTTGATTTTGTGTGGTGGATGGATTTCGGGCGTGGACGGGCATATGGGTGATAATATTAAGTTTACGTTAGGATAAGAAGCACTTGTGTTGCTCACTCCTCTCCCCATCCCTGGTGTATTATGGATGGTGTGAATATTCACATCGGTGACATGGTCCCTGACCCCATTGTACATCATAAAATGAAAATGACACTACAGTAGTTTACGTTTCGCTTTGTAGTTCAAGGCATATCATTGCGTTTTGTCATGATGAACACCAATGCAAGAGGTGAAAGCTGGACATCCGAAGAAGAACGGCGCTTTGTCTTGCGTGGTTGCAGGTGTCCCAGGACCCCATCACAGGAACAAACCAGAAGGCAGAAACGCAACGGCAGCAGTCTAAGAATCCTGGCATTCCAGGAAATCCACAATTCTTTCCAACACGCAGCAACCTCTCCACATTGTCAGATGTCGGATAGCGTAGGTACTTGGGGCCGTAAATACAACAGTGGTTTCACAAAACTCCACAAGAGATTTCAGCGCTGTTGTCTCTGTCATCCTGATGTATTCTTACATGCCATATGCAAGCTGACGGATTGCGGCGGTGCAATTTTGAAGGCCAGTTAATTCTAGTTTACCAGTCACATCAGGCTTTTGCAAGTAAGGATTCGCGGCTTCTATTTCTGCTACAATCTTTGTTAACAAGTTTCGGGACATTCGAAACCGCCGCCAAAAATGTGGGATTTTTGGAGAAATAACAGTCGCTCAGCTCCTACATCCTGTTGATATTCGGTTTTTTGCCAGGCCGAGATTTTCCAGCTCGATTTTTCTCGTCTTCTTCCGCAGCCCTTAAGTTCATGTAACTGGAAAAGATAATGCTGTACAACTTCAATGTCTTGTTCGTTACTTAAAATGATGGAATCAGCTGCCCCCTGGAAATAATCTGCCGTCGATGCATTTGGAATATTGATGATACAACTACACAACTGCTGCACATTGATCGACCGATAAAAATGAAATATTACAACAATGTGACGGTACACGGTAGAAGTCTCAAGACGCTAAACTCGAAATAGAAACCAACGTGAATCACCGGTAGAGGAATGGAGTGCTAATCTAAAATAGCTACCTTAGCCTTAGCCTTATTATAGCGATAGAGATAGGGCCTCCCGTGATGGTGCTCCGAGGGATAAGAATGCAGCTTAAGGTGCTCAATTTAAACAGAAAAAGAATGCTAGCAGTCTCTTCGTCCCATCGATTTTGTCGATTGAGGCTGATATTTTGACGCCCTGCTTTGGATACATAAGTTTGTGAGTTTCAAGGAAAATGTTCGGATCACAAAAAACCCATACCTCCTAATTTACCCGAATGTATATTTTTTGGTCAAATCGAATCCTTAAAACAACTAACCTCTAGTCGCCTTAGGGTCGAACCGTCCAGTTGTGAGCTATTATCTATACTGCTTTCTACAAAAACGCACTATCGCTTGTATAAATGCCGTACAGATGAGAATGGTAATGACAAATCGAACTAGGAGAATGGTTTTACGTTGTGGGTGGGACGAGAAATTATTCTACATACATGTTGCTTGAACTCCTTGATACATTCCTTCCTATATGCAATAGCGAGTGCGCTCAACAACCGAAACATAAATAAAACAGAATAACGCGAATAGAAAATGCTTCTACCAAGATGTAATCAGAACATACAGAAATGTACACCTTCGACACCCTGAAATCTGACGATCTAACACTTACTTACCTACTTCCACGCTTGTTTGATGGCCTTCTTAGAGGCAAAGAGTTTCACAACGTAGGACGTACTGGTCAGGAGAATCAGTACCACAGCGATCAAAAAGTAGTCGAAATCTTCCTTGAGAAGATCGAACGTCTTTGAGGGTGCTACGCGAGTGACGAAGATGTCCAAGCCGTGCACGAACACCAGACAGGAACTTTCCAACCCGGACGGGGCCGTATGAATTCCCTTGATGTTTGCAATCGTTTGGTTGTAGTTGATAATGATCTCATGAGGCATTGGCAGCTCGGGCATGTATGGAATGATACCTTCCTCCCGGGCCTTTTCCGGTGACGTAACCGGTCGCCGAGGATCCAACAACGCCCAGGACATTTCAACCACGGCCCCTGTGGTGAGGGCAACTGTAATTGGAAAAGGAAAATTTTGGGTTGTTCGACTTATGTCTAAAGCTGTGGATGTGTCAGCTTACACAGAATATGCTTGTTGGTAATTCCTTTTTCGGTGATGGTTTCCTTCATTGTGGCAACTGATACTGGCAAAACGTACGATTGCCGTTCGACCAACGGCATTGGCGGAGCATCCAGGGAACTCCAAACTGTGCTATTGGTTTGCGTTTTCCCTTCGTACAGCTCGACGGACGCTTTAAGACAGATGTTTGCAATTGAGTTTCGATCCACCTAGGATAAACTTAAAGTTCTACTTACTGACTTCCGTTCGTCGCACTTTTTCGTTGTAGTACGAATAGACGAGCCAATTTTCCGAGTGCACCATCTGGAGCGGTGGTCGGATTCTCTTGTGGGACATCGAAAATACGATAGAGCCGGAAACGACGTCCAAAAGATGCACGTTCAGGATGTCTGTTGAAATTAGTAAGCAACATTAAAAGTTTGCTCCGATGAAGCTACACTAAAGACTTACACTTATGGATATTGTCCGGTCCATGGGTAGCCACGGCAATCAAGTTCGGATTGATGTACTTGTAAAGCACAGAGCGATCGACCAAAACACGTCCCTGGGAGTGAACGTGTTCGATTGGGTTTTTGCCTTCGATTGCGATGATCTGTTGGCTCCTGCCAGTGCCACTAAGGTTCACGGTCCATGTCGGAACGGTGCTCAATTTTCCATTCCTGAATTCAACTAGATGTCCCTCGATCGTCGCTGATTCGCGATCAGCACTAAACATGTAGAAATTGCTAACATACTTCGCCGAGCTTTCTGGCAACACGTGAGCTTCGTTGTTCTCATCCAGAAGCAGGAGGCCTCTTAGGAAGTCCGGTCCAGTTTCGTGCAAAAGAGAAGCCTGTCGAATTTTGTATGACAACTGAACAATTCCACCGTTCACGGGTTGACCGGTAATAGGATTGAACTGGTAAATAAAACCATTTTTCGTATCGCGGTGTCGTCCGACAATGACGCACTGTGCGCTGAGTGGGTAGAAACGAGATGTCCTCTGAACCAATAGCTTCATACTTTGTTCATTGGCGAACCCGATCATTTCCGGCAGGTACCGAATCCAATGCTGTTTGCCACTGATGTTATCGATGCCGAACACTTTTCCCGTACTGGTCACTACGACGAGCATTTTGTGCAGTCCGAAATCGTCGCGAACGAGACCTGCTTTCTGGGCCTTGGATGGCGCCGGTCCCAGTCCAAGGACGTGCAGTACGAGATTCTTGACGTGACTAATCTGGCTGGTTATACGACGTTGTAAGGCACCGAAAACGTCCCCTAAAAGATAGAATATGTGTTTGGTGAGCATTTGTGATTATTTGTAGTTATCTGCAAACTACAGATATTCAAAAGGAAAGCTTGTAACAACAAGATCAACAACAACAACAAAACAATAAAATAAAATTCACACTTTGCTTTGAGGGTGTTCAGAAACCATGTGGACACTTTTTTATAGAGATTTTAGATCCTTTCTACCCCTGCATTGACGATTATCCATGCACGTTTTTAAGTATTTGAATGGACCATGGATACTCTTCATCCCTCTACCCTCCCTCTAAACTACCCACGTGGTATGTGGACAGCCCCTTTTTTTGTTACTGCTGAGCAGTTCCTGGCCAAATAGCGAAAAAAAAACAAATTTTTAATATTACCTCCTAGAAATTAACTAAGTTTGTGCCGATTTTGATTCTCGCCAAATTTTCGATATTTTTCAATAAATTACAGCACGAAAACGGCTCATTTAATCTCACTGCAATAAAAGTTCACATAATATTCACCTGAAAAAGTACGTAGATATTCTCCATCGTACTTTTTAGGTGAAAATTACGTGTTTTGGGAATGAAAATCTGTTCCATATGATTCATATAGAAATCAAGTGATTTTCACGTAAATTTTATCGGACGTTCCGATGATCTACACATAGGTTTCACTTAAAAGCTACGTGAATTTTCAAGTAAATGTAGTTGGATTTTATGGATAAGATTCGATCAAGAGCGTAGCCAGGTTTCGAGCTAGGGAGGGACGAAAAAAAATTACTATGGAACATTTGGCCGAATGCCATTTGCCATGTTGCTGAGTTTACGAGGGGACAGTTGACCTCCCCCCCCCCCCCTGACCCCATCTGGCTACGCCTGTGGATACGATCATTATGCTACAGTGGAACTGCCATAGTCTAGTGCCTAAACTAGACTCGTTACATTTTTTACTTCACAATTCTGATTGTGATATATTTGCTCTCTGTGAAACATGACTTTTTTCCGATAAAGAACTCAACTTCCACGATTTTAACATTATTCGCCTGGATAGAGACGATTCTTATGGAGGAGTACTTCTAGGGATCAAAAAGTCCTACCCTTTCTACAAAATTTCCCTTCCTGCTTCAAAATCGTCGCTTACCAAATAAATGTGAAGAACGAAGACCTTTGCATAGCTTCAGTATATGCACATAACGTATGTCGAATTCGATCATCAAAAATCGACCCCATTTCAGTGATTTCAATTGGTATAAAAGGACATCGATCTGTCAAATGGATTATACCAGCTGTAAAATGAGAAAGGGGGATCAAGGGGCTTGTCAATTATTTTAAATAATTCGACAGTGAGCATGCATAAGGGCGAATACGCGATGATCGATTCTCTTCATCGATTTTCTCTTTGCATTGCTATAGCTAAGCGAAACAATTTTCTAGAATTTGTTCAATGCAGAGTAGTAACAGATTGTATTGGCTATCAAAAGCAACAGCAAACGCACCGAGAAACGTTAAATCTAGCGAGTTATTAACAAAAGAGAAAATCGACGAAGAGAATCGATCATCGCGTATACGCCCTTATGCATGCTCACTGTCGAATTCTACCGTGGTTTATAATTCTATGTGTTCCTAGCACTCCTGAACTCATGTCTTACTATTTCTTTAACCATTTATGTGCTTTATTTATAATTGTTCCGCCTACCGCCGAAAGTGAGGAGAAAACGTCGACCAATCAGCAACGAGCAAACGGTCGGTGCCGTTCTATAAAAATCCCCGCAGTACCGTGCTTAAGTTAAGTTTGAATTCAATCGAGCATCCGTTGTATCGAGAAACGAAGAGAAATAAACAGTAGTGTCTAGTGTAGTCGGTAGCATTCGTCATCTCTACTGCATGTCCATTGGTGTCCCGGAAAGCAGCGTCAAACTCCCCAGCTCTTTTCAGAGCTCCTGAGTTTAGAACTTCGATTGACGCTAGCCAACTCCGTTCGCTCCCGCCCAGTACAGTCCACTTCGCCTTGACAAAACCAGTTCAGAAGGAACATCAATTTGGTCCGTCACGAACCGGATCACGAGCCATTCCGAAGCAACCGTTCCCGTTGAGTGGAAACTGACGTGCTACGACGGCTACGACACACAAACTGTACCCAACCAAAACGAAACAACTGCTTCTGCTGCTACGCTTGCGACTCGACGCGGAGCATTTATAACCTAAGAGGAAGAGGTGACAATTGGCTTCTTCCTCTTTTATTTCTATCACTATCTCTATCTATATCTATCTCTATCTATATCTATCTCTATCTCTATCTTACGCACATGAAATCGGCCAATCAGGAGCTGGTTCACGTTTGACAGAAAAATGGTTCATTTTCGCCCCCGTATTGTCACCTCTTCTCTTAGTTTATAACGAACGTGTTTAAACGTGCGCGAGTGAGAAGTGCGTTTTCGGAAAAAAAATACGTTTTGTTGTGGTTTCGCGAGATTTGAAATACGCCGCGTAGTGAGTGAGGTGTCATAAATGGCACCAGAAGACGCTGAAGAAAACCAGCAGGGGAACCCTATCCCTAGGTCGCCAGTTAGCAGTTCCGGTTCATTTCACGGCTTCGAGTGGGAAGCAGCAATGGATCCTGAATCTGCAAAACAGTGGCAGGGAATATCCAGGCAACGTGAACAAGTGAAGCAAAAGATTGTGCGCATTCGGCGTTCTCTCATTAGTGGAAAGGCACCGACTTTGGCGCAACTGACAAATATGTCCAAGCACCTGCCGTTATGTACACCGAGTACAGCGGATTCCACAGCAAAGGACTGGCGCTTCTTCCAGATGATGCGCTGGACGAGCAAGAACATGAATATGCCAACTTCGAAGATCTCTACAACAACGTTCGCGATGCCGTGCAGGAGTTGTTGCTGGAAGCACAAGCAAACGCGGCCACTCCATCGCCGAGAATCGTCCATAACCCGCAGGTGGTCGTCCAGCAGCAGCCGCTCAGCGCACCAATTCCAACATTCGATGGCAATTACTCTGGGTGGCCTAAATTCAAAGCCGTCTTTCAGGATTTGATGGCTCACTCGGGGGATACAGACGCCATAAAGCTGTATCACCTCGATAAGGCGCTCATCGGAGATGCAGCTGGTGTATTGAATACCAAGATCCTTAGTGAAGGGAATTATCAACAAGCTTGGGACATTTTGGAGGATCGATACGAAAACAAGCGGGTTCTCGTAGAAACCCACATCCGTGGTCTGTTTTCACTACGAGAGATGTCATCGTAGACCCATAAAGAGCTGAAAGGTCTGCTAACCGAAGTTACTCACCACGTCGAAAGCCTGAAGTTCCTCCAGCAGCAGATCACCGGCGTTTCGGAGTACATGATTGTGTTTCAGATCGTCTCCGCGCTCGACAAATCGACCCGTGAAGCCTGGGAAGGGATCCAAAAAAAAGGACATCTTCCCAAATACGAACCAACCATCGCCTTCCTGAAGTCCAGGTGCCAAATCCTCGAGAATTGTGAGGCGGCATTCCAGATTAGCAAATCCAGCTCGAAACAGAAGCAAGCTCTTCCACCATCGAAGATCAATCCGCAAAAGAGCCATGCAGCATCGACCAGCCCATCCCAACCGACGAACTTGTGCGAAATTTGTGGTGGTTCGCACCGTAATCACCAGTGCTCGGCCTTGTCCAACCTTACTCCTGCTCAAAAGAATCAGGTGCAAAGGGCATCGATCCAAGGATTGCCCTCCCGACAAGTCGTGCCACAAGTGTCAACGCCGACACCACACGTTGCTCCATGATGATGGGGCACCCCGCCATGAGAAGAAGTCCAACGTTTCCGCGGAAGCAGTGGCAAGCCCGCCTCTGGTTCCGGCTGCTCCGAATCAACCGATGTCGGTGCAGATGATTCCTGCCCCAGTGGATCCACCAGTGTCAACAACCTGTTCGTCGAATGTTGTCTCATTTTCCAAGACGGTACTGTTGCTGACCGCAGTCTTGGATAAAGATAACCAGCCATATCCGTGCCGGGTCCTTTTGGACAGCGGCTCCCAAGTCAACTTTGTAACCGAAGAGATGGTTAACCGTCTTGGCCTCCCAAAGAAACCAGCCAACGTTCCGATCGTGAGAATCAACGCCCTTTGGTCCCTCGCCCGCGACAAGGTGGTGGTCAGGTTCCAGTCCCGTGTATCCAATTTCCACGCAAGCCTCGAGTGTCTGGTTACCCCGAGAGTGACTGGCATGATTCCTACATCGAGAATATACTTCACCAAATGGATGATCCCTGAAGGGATAATCCTAGCTGATTCCAAGTTCCACAGTTCGGATAAGGTGGACTTGCTGATCGGTGGGGAGTTATTCTTCGATATCCTGAAACCTGGTCAGCTGAGCCTCGAGCTGAGCCTAGCCGAAGGTCTTCCACAATTACGAGACACTTATCTGGGGTGGATCTTAGCAGGTGCCATCAATGATCAGCTCGTGTCCAACGTGTCGCTCCAATCCAACACAGTCGTTGAACACATTGAGCAAAGGATGCACCGGTTCTGGCAAATCGAGGAGGTGCCGGACGTTCCCAAGCTGTCGACCGAGAAAGCAGCATGAGAAATCCACTTCCTTTCCATATCGCGCTACCTTTCCGAAAATTCAAGGTTGCCATCACCGGAGACATCTCTAAAATGTACCGTCAAATACTCAAAGCCCTGTTGGATCGTAGTTTCCTTCAAATCTTTTGGAGAGAGCACCCATCGTTACCCCTACGAGTCCTGGAACTCTGTACCGTTACGTACGTTACGGCATCGGCACCATATCAAACAACCAGGTGTTTGCTGAAGCTCGTCGAAGAAGATGGTGAGGACTTTCCTGTCGCCGCTCGTATTGTGAAAGAAGAAACGTACATGGACGATGTACTATCTTAACTGCAGGCAGAAGATGCCTTCTACCGCTAGGTGCGCTAGTGTTCGCAAATGACAAGTGGAGCCACTTTCTGATCCAAAGTTGCACTCCTGTGTGAACTGGCACTGCTGTGACCAATAAGTGGGTGTTCCGGATTAAGCGAGGACTGCGGACGGTGTTGGCTCTAGCAAATCACAACAAGATGGTGGGCCACAAGATGGACGTTGCAACAGCTTTTCTCAATGGCAAGCTTAATGATGAACGAGGTGCGGCCAGAGGGCTTCGAGCAAGGAGATGGTCTGAACAGGCGTCGAAATCATGGAACGACAGATTTGACAACTTTATAGTGATACGACTGGGATTTACCAAGAGCGCGAACGACCAATGTTTGTAGTCGAAGAGGATCGGTAAGGACACGGTGTTCCTGGTAATTTATGTTGACGACGTGGTTATCGGTGCATCACCCTGCAAGCAGTCGAAACTGTGAAGCGATGTCTGGCAACGGAGTTAAGACGAAGGAGAGATACGGTGCTTTCTTGGACTGCACATTGAGCGCGATGTGGAGGGAAGAGTTATAAAAATCAGCCAGAAGCAGTTTTTGGAAGATTTGCCTTGTAGGTTCGGGATGCAAGAGTGCAAGCCTGTCTCTACGACAATGGACGTGCGGCTCAAGCTGGAGATTGAGACAGAAGAGAAGCGAACGAGGCAACCGTATAGGGAACTGGTGAGATGCCTGTCTTATCCTTTGGAGGCGAACCAGCCCCAGGCTGAAAGCCTCCCTAATAAAGATAAATAATAATAATGCCTGTCTTATGCGTCGTTGACAACTAGGCCAGATGTAGCAACAACCGTCTGATCAACATTGAATACACTTCAAAAGAATCCTACGGTACCTAACGGGCACTCTCGACTTGTGTCTGGTGTATCAAACGGATAAAAACACTTCGGACCGCAGATCGATTAGTGGCTGCATCTTCAAGGTGCTAGGGTGCACCATTGGCTGGATTACGCGAAAGCATTTTCGTCTACCGAGGCAGAGCTGAAGGCTTTGTGTAATGCAGCGTGTCTTAAAACGTAGATGATTCGTCTTCTAAGGGACCTTGGCAGCGATTCAGCAGAGCCAACTTCATTCTACGAGGATAATCAGTCCACTATTAGGATCGCTAAAAATTCGAAGGACTTTGGCCGCTTGAAGCACGTGGACGTGAAGCATCATTTCCTGAAGGACCTTGTACGAGAAGGGAAGATTCGCCTTGAATATCTTCGCTCAGATGATCAACCAGCAGATATCATGACGAAGAGTTTGCCAGTTGGTGGTTTCCGGCGTCATCGGATCAGCATCGGCCTGATGTGGCCTTCCCATAACTCTGTTAGTTGATGCTATGACACAACACGCCTGGTCCGTTACCGTGAAGCCAGCTTGTTCGCAGTATGGATACGCATTTTACAGGTTTGGTATTATGACGGTTAATAAATATTGCATTTCCTGATTTAAATTATAATATAAAAGAAAAAAATGTGAGCATCTTAATCATTCTGGTTCAACATATGTTGCTATTAAACATGAAAAACTGGATGAATCCTCAAAAAATTGGAAGATTTCAAACTTCAACTGTTTGACTGAATGCGTCCAAAAACTGGAAGAACCCGGTTTAAACTAGAATGTTGGCATCACTGCAACTCTCACAGTTTTTCTTATTATTATTTTGTTTTTTTTTTTACCTATCCTGTTTATAATACCTGCAAACTGCGCACACCGTTGTCTCTAACCAGGGTTCTAGGGATTCCCAGGTGTGTTGGCGATTGTTCAAATATGCACCCATATTCTCGTTTACGTTCGAAAACAAGAATATGGATGATGATTTGAAGCAACAAAAAGGTTACTGCCGAAATCGGTTAGTTTTGATTTCTGCTTCATATTACGTTTGAACTTTATAAAGTGAGTTCAAATATGTGGCCAATTATTTCCGTTTGTACAATTTACGGGTTTTGCATCCAACTGTAACTAGACTGTCTAATACTTGGACATGACCTAGCCAGTTGGCTAGAAATCTCCTTGATAAAGTTGAAACAAAACAAAAACTGTCTATAATGTCCATAGGTTCCAAACCTGAAGTGTAGATTAGGTTAGTTATATGACGTGCTTCGGAATAACTGATGATTGATGATTGTAAGCATGTCAACCAATATAGATGACATTTTGAAACAATTGAGCGAGATTGTATTCATTGACAATGTTGTTAGAAACCACTTGGTTTGTTTTCGCTCTTTCTTAGTATAGGCACAGCACACTGGTACTGATGAAGTGACCGCAAACAAAAAACATATTGTCTCTACAAACAATACCTATAGCTAAATAAAGTAAGGAACAAACAAACAAACAACAATCTACAACATTCAGCAAACTATTCAACTGTTTTCACACACTCTTGGACTCACATTCCAAACCGTTATCCTCTGTTATGACACGTGTTTCGCGATTGAATGCACGAATGAAAGACAATAATCGTTAAAAATCATATACGTTTCGATACAGACAAGTGCTAGGGAAAATCCACTCACCGTTCTTGTTGTTGAGCTCCTCCTCGATGGCACCTTCGGCATCGGACAGCGTCAAGTCCAAAAAGTCAGCCGTCTCCACATCGGCCAAAGCCTCCTCTCGCGTCCACTTGATCTTGCTTTGCTGGATGAGGGTCAACGCACCGTCCTCGCTGGAAATCAGCAATCGACAAGCGAGCTGACCGCGGGATCCTGCTCCGCTGGTGGTTTTGCATCGCACTGCTACCAGATCGGGAGTGCCCAATGTTTCCGGATAGTCGGTAATAAATTCGATAGCCTCGTATGGGGTGTTATCGGCTAGTTTCTTCGCCGAAAGCTTGAACATGTTTCTCTCTCTGTCGACGGTGCTGTGCAGTAAAATTTGTTCGCCTTCCAAAATGGTGTCATCAACCAAAACGGATCCTTCCGCACCGAGAGGCGCTTTCAAGTCAGAATTTAGCGAATACAAGCGACCGTCTTGGGTGATGGCTGCCTCTCCCGGTACTGCTCGAGGTGTTCCGGAAGCAGATGCTTCCAAAGACTTGGCAATAATCTGAGCATTTTCCGCCAGTAGATCAATCGCCAAAACTTGCTGTTCGATAGCGCAAGCGAAGAACTGAGCTGCTAAGGTACATTTTCCTTCCTTGATCCATGCAGCGGAAATACGACTCGTGCTCGGCTTAGTCTGCTGCCCGGATGCGGCAATGTATTCCGTTATTTCGAGGTGAGATCCCCACACGGGAACTACGTGGTACAAATTGCCTTCGTTAAAAAACCAAATCGCATTTTCAGCCTTCTCTGGAGCATTTGGCAGCAGAGACCACTCCCATTCCAGACTGCCAGTGTTCGAGTTCCAACCACGAACCAACGCAGGGTTTACTCCGGTTACGGTGATCACATCAAATGCCCGATTGTACCGACTACTACTCGATTGAACTCCATTTCCCTGATTGGGAACGTGAAGAAGTTTGATGTCACCTCGGGGGCTTTTCTCCAGCACTTGCCGCCAGAGGATCTCGCCGCTTTTGGCACTAATCGCCGCCAGGGCATTGCTCTCTGTGGCAACGATTATTCGATCCAGCGAGCTGGAATCGAATCCTCCGAACCTAATTTTACCCACATAATGCTGCCGCCTGAGATAGAAGAATCGAATTAGTGCGGATCAGATTGGCGAGAAAAAAGAAGGAAAAAATGAGCCAAACTTACCAGTCGAATTTACCTATTTGGTCCTCGTACAATCCGCTGGTTGAGTGGAGGAAAGTAAGCAGCACCAAAAGCCACAGGTTTATTTTACAACTGAGCCGATTTTGGAGGAAATCCATGGCGTGAAAATTATAAATTTTCACACGATTTTGCCGGACACTAATCACGATCTCGTGAATTTTTTTCCCCTTTTGCTCGCAATTTTTGACAGTTCATTGACAGCAGCGGGATGTGCACGTTCTCGGAGCGTGTTCTAAACTCAACTGATAGCAGGACCATATCCAGGAGTAAGTCGAGCAACCAACTGCTCGAATGGATTGATTGCTCGGATTGCTCAACACGAAGAATCGAAAAACAAACCCAAAATAAGGTGATCCGTGAGACGTTTCGCAGATTACTTGACAACTAAAAATCTATGAGTGTGTGAGTGATTAGGGGCTGTTCATAAACTACGTAGACAGTTTATGGGGGGGAGGAGTTGACAATTATCCACGGCCCATACAAATTAAAAAAAAAATGTATGGACAATTGTCTACGCAGGGGGGGTCAAGAATAAACAAAAACTGTACGTAGTTTATGAACAGCCCCTTAGCTGTTGCCGATGCAAGATGTGAATATAAACAAAGCTATTTTCAATGCGAAAAATCCGTCAGATTAACTGTGAACTGTCAAAACTTGGTAATCAACAAAATCAGCTAGCCACAGCTGTCTTACGGAATGCCTGCCTTATTAAATATTTTGTACTTTTTTACTGTTTAGTTGAGTATTAAAAATCAATGCATTACCCAACAAACAATTCAGAGTCACACACGCAGAAAAAATTACCGTCGAAACAAAAATATTTGAGGTAAATTTAAACGTAAATTAAGTTTGTTCTGGCCACAAACATAAACTAGGTTGATTTCAAACGTATTCTACGTTTGAATCCATTGATAATAATGTTTAAAACAAAAATAATGTTACGTTTATTTTAAAAATATTCGTGTTGAAAATAAACGTGAATATTTTTGATTTATTTGAAAACTATATGCAATCAAAAATTAATATGTTTATTTGTTAATATGTTTATTTTAAACATGCAAATAAGCATTTAATAAATGCTTTATAACAGTGTAAAATGCTGAATAAAACGGGTTGTCAAATTATTTGCTGAAAAAACCTTAATGAGATCGATAGATGCGCCTTTATTCCGCTGTTTGCTCTGATTTGATTAATATACTTATTAAAAGCTATCCAGTATTTTACGATGGCTTATGGCAGCCACAATCTGGCTGAGTTTCTGGTAGGGAACATAAGATTTGAAGTATGGCTTGTGTCGTTTGACGTGTAAACGATCAAATTTGAACGTTTACACGTCAAACGACACAACCCAAACGTCAAATCATATGTTCCCTACCAAAAACTCAGCCAGAATGTGGCGGCCATAAGCGCTCGTAAAATGCTGGATAAAAACGATGACTGTCTTCCTGATTCAACACCAGAAGTTTGATCTAATAACATACTGAATAAGGGTTATTTGCACATACATTGACGCTTTAATTCGACTGTTTTCATTTGATCTAATAACATGCTTTATTGTACGTCTGATAATTGTTTTCTAGCTCCATTATTAGATTCCATTGCATTCCCGTAAAAAAAATCCAATAAAAATACAATGATTTTCATTGTCATTGTAACCATGATATTTACTGTCAAAACATTGGACATTTTTGTCCATTACCATAAAATCACAATGAAATTCATGGTTCACAACAATGTGAAAACCATGGAATTTGAGAAATTAACAGTAAAAAAGGGGGGTTGTTAAGCATCTTAACAATATAAAAAGTGATTTTTCTCGAACAAATTTGATTTCATCACACTAATTTTCGTTGTTTGAGCATTGTATCGTTAAAAATCGAAATCTATTTTTTCTCCCTCACAATAATTTAACAATAAAATTTAATGTACTCAAAATACAACAGTAAAAATCATTGTAATTTCCGTAATTTTGTTGTTTTATTATAATTTTTTTTTTCGGGTTGCTTAACAATTTTGCTGAATAAATGTGAATACAGTCAGCATAATAGCTCTTATACCACTATGCGTCCATGTTTTAATTGCATGCTTTGTAAATGCTTTACAAACGGCGTATTCATTCATTATTCCACAACACTGTTTCAGGTTTCAGGCTAACAACAAAACGAAATTGATAGCATAGTGGTTACCGTTTCCGTTTCCGGACAACTAATTGACCACTTTGTCAAGCAGTTTTGGCGTGACTTTCTACCAGCGATTTCACAAAACTGGACCAATTAATTTCTATTTTTTTGTGAAACGCACAAATGTTAGCTACTTTTTTCGAGGTTCTAGAAGAAAAAATCTCAAAATAATATTTCATTTCAAAGTTCGAGTGGTAGTAAACGTCATTTTATCTGCTCGAATGAAGTGGTTAATACTAGGGGCAAGACAGCTTTCAATCATGAGTAATTTTTGAGCAAATCTTGAGTAACTCTGAGTTACTCGCGGTGCTCAATAATGAATACCGTTGTCAAAATGAAAATTTCTATCGCAGCAACTCAGTTGAACAGGTTTCTCTCCGTATTTACATATGTGTGGTTCTGCTAAAGCAAAAATAATCAACAGAATAGTTCTTGATGATCTAGGAAGAAAAATACGGGTTTTAATGCGGGTACAACTTATTGAAGATATAAGTTATAACACTCTTATCGTGACAACGGCATGTAATAATCTTTTCTATAAATCCATATTATAGTTGATGAAGTTCATTTGATCGATGTTGAAACATAGACAAACGTTTTAGGCTTACATCAGTATCTATACATAAAATAAATTGTTTTACCAAGAGGATTGAACGGGGTGGGCCTTTACATTCCAGTTTCACGGCAAAAAAGAGTGCTATATGCATGGACCAACCACAACGTCCATTGGCTCTTCAATCAGACAATTCAATAGGAGGTGTTTGTTTCGCATCAACTAACTAAGTACTCGCGACGGTTAAATAATACATAACCCTTTATTTATCACACCAAAACATGCAATAAAAGGTTTGTTAAGCTTATCACTCATTTGTATTTGACTTAAACTAGGAACAACGTAATGAATTAAAATGCCGTCGTGGGTCTCCTGCCCGTGCAATACAGTGACCTGGTTGAGGTGGACTGATCATTGAACCCGCACGACCGTTTCAGGTAGTTCAGTCATCCATCGATACGATGATTTTTTTTCGGCTAGTGAGAGCGGGTGAAATCTGTTCGTAGTGGCTGACATTAGTGTGTTTATAAATATGACAGTATGGAAAAATTAAACTTGAGGCTACTTAGTTATTTTTTGAGTAAATACGAGCAACTCAGAGTTACTCAATGTAAATATATTAGCTCAGAGTATACCTGACTTGCCCCTAAGGTTAATACAACAGTAAAAATCATTGTAATTTCGTTGTTTTATTATAATTATTTTTTTTCGGGTTGCTTAACAATTTTGCTGAATAAATGTGAATACAGTCAGCATAATAGCTCTTATACCACTATGCGTCCATGTTTTAATTGCATGCTTTGTAAATGCTTTACAAACGGCGTATTCATTCATTATTCTACAACACTGTTTCAGGTTTCAGGCTAACAACAAAACGAAATTGATAGCATAGTGGTTACCGTTTCCGTTTTCCAATGTCGCGAGTTAAATCCCAACCTCAACCCTTTTTTTTATTTATTGTCTACGCCTAATTAATTTATATCGTAATCATAGATCGTATCACGCACGACAACCAATAGACCACTTTGTCAAGCAGTTTTGGCGTGACTTTCTATCAGCGATTTCGCAAAACTGGACCAACTAATTTCTATTTTTTTATGAAACACACATGTTGGCTGCTTTTCTCGTGGTTCTAGAAGAAAAAATCTCAAAATAATGTTTTATTTCAAAGTTCGAGCGATAGTAAACGTCATTTTATCTGCTCGAATGAAGTGGTTAATTCATCGATCTATCGAAAAGAATAGCCCACACGGATAGAAATCTCCTTATACCTTTTGGCAAATTTCTATTGCTGATTATTCATTAAATGTATAAGTCAACTAATAAGCAGACGCTTTGCAAAAAGTTAATGAAGATTATGTGTCAAATGAAATGTATAAGTGGTCACACATACCTTTAATGCATTCTTATAGGACCTATGTGGTATGAATTATTGAATGTATAAGGCTCAAAGGGTAATTCACTCTGCCACCTTGTGTTTAACACTCCAAAAACACAGTTCGACACACTCCAAACACACTTCCACCAGAATTTTCTATTAATTCTGGCACCACTTCCATGAATGTTTACATTCGATCAAGCATTCGATTGTTACGTTTATAAACAGTAGTTTTGCATCTACGACGAATTCACTCAGAGATATGCGAGAGATGGCACAGGACGTGGCAGAGAAGGCAGCCATTTGTGGACCATCTCTCGAAAGCTTGTATGGGAGGTACGCGGATCGACCACATGAGTTTAGTTTTATGGAGGCGAAGATCCTGTGCATTCTGGATCTTGCGGATATTGTGTGAACAAATGGCATTAAGCCGTTTTTAAAAACACGTAAAAAAGCGCGAGTAAGGGCGCGAATGCATCTTGGGTCCGCCGAGGAACAAGACGTCGAATTTAATGTCCACAAGGAATAACTCCTCCTCTTTCTTCTTTTTCTTCTTCTTCTTCTTCTTCTTCTTCTTCTTCGTTGAAGATTTCATCGATGCTCATCAGCGAGATTATGTTATCCTACTTCACCAACAACGCTTTGGATCTGGTGGCTCGTCACTTTTCTTTTTAGCTTCACCCTTTGGGTTCACACTACTGGATCAGCTGCATATTGCCTTTCGCGTCTGCATGAGCACTGAAACTCATGTATGCCGATTCTCGAACTCCACATTTTTCGTACCACCAGTGTTGGAAAAATATCAAAAAATCATATCTCCCCAATGCCCAAGATCACGCTTGATTTTCGTAGACCAAAATGAACAAGCAAACATCTGCGGTTGATTTTGCAAGCTGTGATATCGCAGCTCAGAATATCAAGCTAACAAAACTCACCAACTGAAAATCTCATCAAACTGTGGTGAGATTGAGTTTAATGATTTTTGCTTTACACCCGAATGGAACCGAAACTTCCATAAAGCTGAGTTTAGACAGGGCAAGTCAATCGATCAAGTCCGTTGAATTCAACTGGCTTGAACGCGAATTGAACGAGTAAACCATGCCATTCAACTGAATTGATCAACTCACTTGAATTGGAAAAAGTTGAACCAGGCTCGGGTCAGCTCTCAGCTTGATTTTTGCGCGTTGTTAATAGTCTCGCAATATCAAAAGAGGTTGTAAAATCAATATCAAGCATGATATTTTGTTCCAAATATCATGCGTGATATTGAGAGCGTATGAGAGCGGAAAATTATTATTTGATTGATGAATTTGCCAACACTGCGTTCCACCAAGAATATTGTGTTCGACCGTTCCTTGGCCGCAATAATATTGATATTAGGCACTCATTTCCTCTTTTTCCTACAGTGAGAGGGCCAATAGACGAGTGCACGGATGGATTTGAGTTCACTAGCTTGACAAAAAGTGACACAACAGCGCGGCCCTGTTTACTAAAAATGAACACATAGGGTCTTATTTGTAAAATGCTTGAAAAATCTGGAATTGATTGTTTCATTTCCGTAAAATCGCTGGTAGAAGGTCGTCCCAAAACTGCTCGACAATATGATTAATTAACCATTTTATTCGAGCACTTAAAATGACGTTTACTACATTATTACATTACTCGAACTTTGAAATAAAACATTATTTTGAGATTTTTTCTTCTAGAACCTCGAGAAAAGTAGCCAACATTTGTGCGTTTCATAAAAAAATTGAAATTATTTGGTCCAGTTTTGTGAAATCGCTGGTAGAAAGTCACGCCAAAACTGCTTGACAAAGTGGTCAATTGTGAGCACATCCATGGTCACACTTAAATATAGTTTTGGTTTTGCTCATATTTGATGATACAAATAATGCTCATGTTCATAGATTGTCATGCCAGTGTATCTGAGGCAAAACGTTCATGTAACGTTCCATAACCGTTTCAACTGTTAGCAGGGATTAAAAGCCACTTTTAACCATTTTTTTAAGGTAAGGTATGATAAGGTATTGTAAGGTCAAGTCACAGACAAACAGACATAACACATTGAATATTTCTCACTGTAAAACATCGTCGCTAAAACATAACCGCCATCTGTTGAATACACAGTGGTGGGTAGTACGCTGAACAGATGGCGGTAGTGTGTAAACGTCAAACGCAAGGGAATTGACTATGCGCGCCACATGTGGCGGTACTACCAACTACGATACTTTTAAATTGACCGTTAAATGCTTGTTCGATGAACAACTTGCGAGTGTTATGTCTGTTTGTCTGTGGTCAAGTTATGGTTCGCGTTTATGCCGGAAGATCTCGCGGAAGACCCGACCACGTAAACATGTACTGCTCGAATGTTCTTAAATTTTTTAGTACACTTACTTTTAGGCTTCACTGTAGCTTATTTGTCAACATCTGCGGAAAGCCGTTTCTTGTATCTCTCGTCAGTCAATTTTTGTGTTTGTGTTGTAATTTTTATCTTCTTTATAGTCAAACGAAGGATTCATTTATTCCTACTAAACTTTTATCCATGTTGATTCGGTTTATTTAGTTTTACAATTAAAATGGATAGTGCATGCTGCCGTCTCTGTGGTTACAATTCGTCCGATCTAATAGAAATTTTCAGTGAGCAAGGAATCGCCGCCGAGTATGCCAGGAAAATCGGTCGCTATTTGTATCTCCTGGTAACGCCGAGTGATGACCTTCCGAAGGTGGTCTGCTGGATGTGCTCGCAGCAGCTGGACTCGTTTCATCGATTTCACGAGAAGATCAATGAGATCCAGCAGCGGACGCTGAAGGAACGGTACCCGGAGTATGTTATCGAGACGCACCACAACTACGTGGAGGAGGGGGTGATTGAAATCTTCGAGCAAACTGTGGAGGAGGAAGACGAACCATTGGAGTCGGATCAGCAGAAAATAACGGAGGAACTTCAAGTGATTGGAGCTGAAGAAGAGGAAGAAAAGGAAGACGATGTTGAAGATGAGCTGACGATAGAACTGATTCCCGATCGCAACAATGAAGATTCGTTCCTGGTGGTTAAAGCAAATCAGACTGCGGAAGTCGACCAAACAGATGTGCAACAGAAACCCCAAATACAGAGCGCTGAAACTTCTGCCTCTGAAATGGAAGTGTTTGAAATACGAAAAAGTACCCGTAAGAAACGACCCGTTGGGCAAAGCATTGAAAAGACGAAACGGAGCGGCGATGAGGAAGAAAGTGACGAGGAAGAGATACTGTTGAAGCAGAAAACGAGTAGGAAAAGAAGTCGAGTGAAACGAGTGAAAAAGTTGCATTCAGAGTCTGATAGCGAAACGCATGAAGATAAGCCAAACGAAACAGAAGCCACATTACGGAAAAGTCCAAGAAAGAAGGTCCAAGAGGAAACAAATACCGACATACCGGATCAAGGTTACGAAGATCACATCGAAGGCGACAGCGGTGACGATATTCCTGCTCGAGACTCAGATAATGAGGAATGGCCATCGGCTGAAACCATGGATAAGTTTCCCACGACAATGCTAAAAGACGGGTTACTTACGGTTAAGGGGAAGCCGCTCATGGATATGATTAATAGGTAATACTGTTTTGTAGACAGTATGTAGCTTTTTAGAAATTTTCTTTATTTATGCACCTTTCAGATTTTACAATGTGCAATGTGACTTATGTAAAGACAAGCCTGTGAGGTTCAAGTAAGTTGATAGAATTTTGTTATTTGCAATAAGTTCTTTAAATATTCTCAATCGTTAAGAACTCTTCGAGAGCTGTTCGATCATTACCAATTGGATCACGATCAGAACGGATACGTGACATGCTGCCAGACGAAAATACATCGTTTTCGATCCATAATTTTGCACATGGCGCGGCATATTCAACCAGAAGCCTTCAAGTGAGTTGTTCTTTCTTTGAGACTTTCAAAGATGTTTGAACTAAATCAATTACCTTGTAGATGCGACATCTGCGGCTACCTGGTTACAAGACCACGGTTTTTGATCACCCACCGGCAGACACATTTACCTGAGGATCAGAAACCTTACAGCTGCGAGCACTGTCCAAAACGGTTCTGCTGGAAACGGGCTCTTAAGGTACATCTGAATACGCACAAGTCACCGGAGGACCGAATCGTTTACGTGTGTTCGGTTTGTGGAAAAACGTGAGAAAAAATGTGTAAAATTACGAAAGACAAGTTTAGATTTTGATCAACGTTTCCATTGTTCCAGGTATGGTACTCCAGGGGGACTATCGGCACACAAACGAAACATCCACCTAACGCCTCGTACGACGAAGGTGTCGCATGTTTGTGAAATGTGTGCAAAAACTTTTGCTCATGCATCCGGCTTGAAGGAACACATGGTCAACATTCATCAACCGCGCGAAAAAGCTCTGGTACAGTGTCCCGAGTGTTCCAAATGGTTGATGAACACACGGTGCATGAAGGTGCACATGCAGCTACACAAGAAGGATGACATCGCTTGCGATCTGTGCGATTATAAAACCAAAAAGAATTGTCTTTTAAAGCGCCACAAAATCACTCACCACCAGAATGAGAAGCCTTTTTTGTGCGAAAAGTGCAACCAAACGTTTAAGCATCGGCAAGCTCTGACTGTCCACATGCGTGTTAAGCACCGAGGAGGGGAAAAGCCTAGTTACAAATGCAATTTTTGCGATCGCTCGTTTAAAAGTTCCACCAACTTCTACACGCATCGAAAGAACCGGCACCCGGAAGAGTTGGCAGCGATGAAGGAACAGGCGGAAGCGGAAAAGAAACTACAGCGAATCAGGGCTGGTGTCGAACCGGATGACGTCCCGTTGGCACAGGAATCGACTATCACAACCACTGCTGATGGAACCCGTATTATCACCATCAGCAGCAGGAACTATGGAATCAGCGATCCCATGAGTACTATGATCGTACTGGACATTACCGACGGCCCGTTAGAGATTCAGGGAGCCAATGAGCACGCAAACAAGTGAATGTCTAAATTCCTGTGACACTGACTACTGGTTTAATGTAGCGAGTAAGTCACAGAGAACAAAGGTTAAAGGTGAATTTGTAACGAAGCTCCCACAAATCATACAATAATGAAACTGAAGCGACACATTTGCTGTAGCGCAGCAAACAGGGAGCTGCAATTTCATTATTGTATGGTTTGTATGCTGACATGTGTGCTCATCCAGTCAAAGTCAGGTGAAGTTAGCGGCTTATTACCATAGAGCAGTGATTTTCACCCGGTGGGGAATTCCCACCTTGAGTTTCCACTCTAGGGGGAACTGTGCTTGAGAAAATATAACATGTTACTTTTAAGTTTTTAAGTACGCTTGCGAATCAATCTACGAAAAGTCTTCTACCATTTCTAGCTTCTAAATCCATCTAATCTCATCTTGCTCCATTCTTTTGCAGGAAATCTTAAAAATCTTTTTTATATCTACGCGCTTACTCACGACAGCAATTTAAAATCTTCCCTATCTAAGCCTTGCGAGTGCTGTTGCCATACGTACCGTAAACCGCCATAACTCTGCGCACTGCGTAATTCCGCGCATTAAATTTTAGAAATAAACGAAAGATTTTTGTTAAAAGTCGTGGGGATTGTGAAAGCAAGTACCACATAATGCTTTAATGTACCGGCGGCGTTTAGAATCACTTGCATAGGAAATCCAATTGGCAAGGCATTTGTGAACAGCATACATTTTTCTGGTTGTATGAAGCAGAAGCAGGTCCGGCAAACTAGTGCACTTTTAATGAACATCAACAACAAATAACTCACTAAACTAGCGAACGGTGAGTTCCAGAGAAGACATAAAATCAAGAAGACTGGCAACTCTGCCAGAATCCAAGCAACCGATACAGTAGCTCCAACAGTAGCGCTGCGCTCGAGCGAAAGTGGAAGTACTACATAGAAAAATGAGCAAATACACAAACCCTTCTTCTGAGGTTGTAATCTTTGCTATCAAATTCAGATGACGCATCCGAAAAACTGTTGGTTGGCGAATTTATTGATTAAAAAAAAGTAGAAGAGTCTGTGCCTAGGGGCACAAACGCAAGCTTGACGTAGGACCGCTAGTGGACGGAACAAATGTGAACATTTAGTTCTTTTAATTGATCAATCATCAATTACCTTAACTCTTTCCGTTTTTATTTGTAAGCGTATCAAATTTGTAGTATTTATTTCAAAGAGAAAGTTGATGAAGAGAATCCAAGGGACTGTCAACTTGAGTATTTTAGATTCATCTACCCGACTTTAAAAGGTGTATTTTGATATTTTTTTGTTATTAATGAATTTTTAAGTTTTGTGTATTTTGGTATTAAAATGTATTCAATTCACCCCTCACAGGGTTTCCTTCCGAATCGAAGGGGAAGACAGTGAGAAACTCAGAGCAATCCAAAGTAGCTCTGAGGAACTCTCTTCCTCTCTGATGATTGATTTTATTATCTCGATTGTTTTGACAGCAATCACATTTCTTGATCACATGTCCTCACCGGAGCTGGTTGCTGAAAGGGAATATCAATCTATTCGCTTACTCTAAGCATCTGTATGCTCAGTAGTATCAACAATCAATACGAAACTAACGATTTTAAATTGGCTCACCACTTTAGTAGCCTATTGGTCCCAAGCAAACGATTAACGTACCCTATTCTAGTTGAAATTCTATTACTACACTATGTTTGTTTTGATTCGCTATGAAAGTTTGACAGATAACATCAGGGGTGTGTGGATTCATGCAGAACATGCAGGGGCTGAGTGAAATAGCTTGGGACTGCTTGGGACCGTTGTTCTGGTACTGAGTGAGCCAATAATAATAATGATTTTCTTCGGGACCCAGTGGTCTTAGAGTTACCTCTATGCTAGCACCATCTCTCATCCACATTCCCAAGCAATGTTTTGCAACCGGAGCATCCCTCGCTCATGCAATTTTTTCACTAGTTGCTTTTCCCTCGTTCTGTCAACGTGTGTTGAATAAAAACAAAACAGATGGAAGTCAGTGATGTCGGTTCTACGAAATTTTCCGAAGATCTATAGAATGGATTGAATTCTGCAGAAATACGGATCCGTAGGAAAAATTCGCAGAAACTAAGACTTTTGTTTAGAGATTTGTTTTGATTGCTAAGTGTGCTTTTTCTTTTGCTGGAAACAAGTTTTTAAACGAGGTAATGCATCACTTATTAGTGCCCTTTCTACCATCGCTCATCACTTTAATGTGTACACAGAAAAAAAAAAATAATAGAATTTCAACTAGAATAGGGTACGTTAATCGTTTGCTTGGGACCAATAGGCTACTAAAGTGGTGAGCCAATTTAAAATCGTTAGTTTCGTATTGATTGTTGGTGCTAGTGCGCATGCAAAATACGCTTGACGATATTTTTTGAAGAATTTTCTTCTAAGAGTTATGTCTGTTTGTCTGTGCTGTAGCTGTCAAGCTGAAAATTTGTTGAGGGATACACCGATTGTTTTTTTATTATAATCGTTTACCAACTACACAACTATACAAATTGTTCATCATCAGCCTATCGAAGAGGAATCAGCACTGTTAGAAATGACGTTTGACTTCCATTTAGGTGGGTTACAACCCACTTAAACCACCCAATGAGCGAAATTTGACTGTATTCAGAAAATTTCTTATTGAGGTGAAAAGTATTGTAATCGGAGTAATAAATTTAAACTAATAGTTTATCTCGTAGTTTATATATAAGTTAAATGTGTTTGTAAGAGAGTTTTAAGCATAATTGACATTTTGTCAAGCAGTTTTGGTGGGACTTTCTACCAGCGATTCCACAAAACTGGACCAAATAATTTATATTTTTTATGAAACGCACAAATTTTGGCTACTTTTCTCGAGGTTCTAGAAGAAAAAATCTCAAAATTATATTTTATTTCAAAGTTCGAGTGGTTTACTACCACTCGAACTTACTTTGAAATAAAACATTATTTTGAGATTTTTTCTTCTAGAACCTCGAGAAAAGTAGCCAAAATTTGTGCGTTTCATAAAAAAATATAAATTATTTGGTCCAGTTTTGTGAAATCGCTGGTAGAAAGTCATGCCAAAACTGCTTGACAAAGTGGTTAATTGAAGAATCAAACTGACGATTGACTCACAGATGGCGAGTGGGTGAAAATGGTAATGACGTTTCAATATCTGTCAAATTGCATGACATTTTTTAGCACATCATCATTTTTGTAATTGCGGATCTTAAAACTAGGTGCCGTTTGACCAGTTTTGGCTTTGCTTTGATTCGACAATAAACCACTTCATTCGAGCAGTTAAAATGACATTTACTACGACTCGAACTTTGAAATAAAACATTATTTTGAGATTTTTTTCTTTAAGAACCTCGAGAAAAGTAGCCAACATTTGTGCGTTTCATAAAAAAATAGAAATTAGTTGGTCCAGTTTTGTGAAATCGCTGGTAGAAAGTCACGCCAAAACTGCTTGACAAAGTGGAACCAATCGAGCAAATCACGACCAACAAAAGAAAAGAGCCATCAGCTATTGCGAACAAAATTTCAGAAACCATTTTCTCGTGACTAAAGGCTCACCTACACAAACTAACGCCATCTTTAGGTTGTGGAAAGTTTTCCCTATCCGATGATGCTGGTAATTTACCTTTGATTGTCGAGGAAAAAATAATCAACGTATTGTTAATAAAAGTTGATCGTACCTTTTCAATTAATCATGTTTTGTTGTTTTTAACATCATCCACATCCAGAGGGCCAGTCACTTCGAATGTATGGGAATGGTAGGAAATCATTTGGAGTGCATGAAAATTTTCAGTTTTTATTCATTATCGTCTTTATGGGCAGTTTTAGATGCACAAAAATTGCACGAGTACATTACTATGGTGATAAGGTAAACACTCGTTTATTTGTTTTCTTCTGTGAATGCATGTTTAGTCACAAATCGTGGATTTTCTGATATTCTCCATACTGCAAAAATGATTTTCCTACCACTGAAGGGGCGACATCTCTCGGATCTTCAGTATAGCTACTACTCAAATCATATAATTAATTAACCACTTCATTCGAGCAGTTAAAATTACGTTTACTACCACTCGAACTTTGAAATAAAACATTATTTAGAGATATTTTTCTTCTAGAACCACGAGAAAAGTAGCTAACATTTGTGCGTTTCATAAAAAAATAGAAATTAGTTGGTCCAGTTTTGTGAAATCGCTGGTAGAAAGTCACGCCAAAACTGCTTGACAAAGTGGTTAATTGTTGGTCTACAATATATTGAAATGGTTCCGCTTTTTGATAGATCGAAATTCTATCCGCCAGACTATGAATATAGCGAGGGGGGCGACACATCTAAATCACAAGTTTAGATGCCCAACAAATCTTACATTAGCGAATAAATCTTCTTTCATTTGTCGCATCTACTTGCATCGCTCATCATCTTTTTGCAGGAAATCTTCAGAATCGCAATCAATCTTCTTTCTATCTACTCAGCGTGCGCGCAGCTAGCCACTGCAAAACACAATCTTTTTTGCATCGTAGATAGAGTCACCCCCCTCGGAATATAGCGACTATACTTTTCTCGTGTTGCGCGAGAATATTGACGTTCGAAAGTCATTGTTTACGTTTCGAGTTAGGCCCTTCTGATATGAAGCTCTAGAATAGCTGCGTCCTGGTGTACGCGCTGTCAGTTGACGGTCAAACGTCAACGCGTCTGCTGCGGAGTCGCATATCCTTTCGTGAGTCGAGCGATTCCACTTTCGCTACCATTCGAAATAGTTTTTATTTTGCTCCGCGGCATAAATTGTATATTTTCGCTTAAAATCCGGAAATAATCGTCCGCAAAGTTGTTTAGTGGCTAAATAAAGCAGTGACCGTAGGAAAGCAACCGGTAGCGCTATGGGAGTACCAGCATTCTTTCGCTGGTTATCGCGAAAGTATCCGTCCGTCATTGTTGAGTGCGTGGAGCAAAAGGTAATTGGAATTTTCATATTCACAGCTAAATTTGGAGAATATGACCTTTTTGGAGACATCGAATCGGTTGTGCTGTGGAATAAATTGCTGCTTAACTGCACATAGGGCAATTCCGAGTTGAAATTCGCTCGAAAAAATTTCACCCACAGCATAACCTAATTCGGATGATGTTCCCGCCACACCCCCGCCCCCTCTTTGTTTTGCTTACGTGATAACAGTTTGTTTATGCTTTATTTTGTAGCATGAAGATGACCAGGGGGAAGTGTTGTATGACGATATGACCAAACCGAACCCGAACAAGGTAGAGTTTGACAACCTGTACCTGGACATGAACGGTATCATCCATCCTTGTACGCATCCGGAGGACAAACCGGCGCCCAAGGATGAAGACGAAATGATGGTAGCAATCTTTGAGTGCATTGACCGCTTGATGAACATCGTACGACCGCGCAAGCTGCTCTACATGGCCATCGATGGTGTCGCTCCGAGAGCTAAAATGAATCAACAACGCTCGCGTCGTTTCAGAGCATCCAAGGAAGCAGCAGAAAAGGCAGCGGAGATTCTGAAAATCCGCGAGGACCTGATGTCCAAGGGCTGTATATTGCCTCCGGAGAAGGAGAAAGGATCCCACTTTGATTCCAACTGTATCACTCCGGGAACGCCCTTCATGGATAGGCTGAGCAGGTGCTTACAGTACTTTGTGCACGATCGGATGAACAACAATCCTGGATGGAAGGGACTGAAGGTGATCCTGTCGGATGCGAATGTTCCCGGGGAAGGTGAGCACAAAATTATGGACTACATTAGGAAGCAGAGAGCACAACCAGATCACGATCCCAATACGCATCACGTTCTTTGCGGAGCGGATGCCGACTTGATCATGTTGGGCCTTGCTACTCACGAGACGTATTTCACCATTATCAGAGAGGAGTTCCTGCCAAATAAGGAAAGACCTTGCGACATCTGTCAGCTGATGGGGCACGAAATGAAAGATTGCTCTGGTTTACAATCGGCAAGGGACGGTAATAGGTCGCCACCTCCGCCAGGAAAAGAAACGCAATTCATTTTCGTTAGATTGAATGTACTGAAGGAGTACCTTGCAAAGGAACTGGACATGCCGAACTTGCCCTTCACGTATGACTTTGAACGCGTAATCGACGATTGGGTTTTTATGTGCTTCTTCGTTGGAAACGATTTCCTGCCGCATTTGCCTAGTCTGGAAATTCGGGAGAACGCAATCGATCGGTTAGTCACACTGTACAAAAAGTGTGTATACAAGACAAAAGGCTACCTCACCGATTCCGGTAGCGTCACACTGGACCGTGTTGAACTGATTATGACGGATCTCGGCTACGCAGAAGACGAAATTTTCAGAAATCGTAAGGTCACCGAGGATCGTTTCAAAGAACGCAACAAACGAATGAAACTACAGAAGGAACGTGAACAACGTCCTAATTTCGAGCAAATGAACAAATCGCAATTCGCTCCGACTCCACTGGGGAGGGGAATCACTCCGCAGGCGGTTCAGAATCCACGACAAGAGGCGGCTCAGTTCCGGATGATGGGTAACAATCAACAACAATCCCAGCAGCAGCAGCAGCAGAACAATTTCGGAAACGACCAAAACCGTCGTGGCCAGAAGCGCAAAGCCGATGAACCACTCAATCCCAAAGCTGCTGAAGAGGAAGAAACTCCCGACGAAGTCCGTCTGTGGGAGGATGGCTTCAAAGATCGTTACTACGAATCAAAGTTCGATGTTTCGCCCCATAACATGAAATTCCGTTCAACAGTAGCCTTGGAATACGTCCGGGGACTGTGTTGGGTACTTAAATACTACTACCAAGGCTGTGCCAGTTGGGAATGGTACTTCCCGTACCACTATGCACCGTTTGCATCCGATTTCAAGGGTCTCACGCACGTCAACACTCACTTTGATAGAGGAACTCCATTCAAACCATTACAGCAGCTAATGGGAGTGTTCCCGGCGGCCAGTAGGAGCCACGTCCCACCGGCGTTCGCCGAGCTGATGGTCGACCCAAAGTCTCCGATCATCGACTTTTATCCGATAGACTTCCACATCGATTTGAATGGGAAAAAGTTCGCCTGGCAGGGTGTGGCACTGCTGCCCTTCGTCGACGAGAAGCGGCTGTTCAAGGCCACTGATCCGAAGGTGCCGCAACTAACACACGAAGAACGTGAGTATACTCAAAACTATCATTTTTTTCCAATTTACGCTTGCCATTCGAGTTTCTTGAAATTCTAGAAAAACATGTGAAAAGGGCCTTCGTACCAGGTATTATTAACATGGCGCTCAACGTGAACATAAATATTACGAGAGGAATATCTCCATAATAAATGGACTAAAATAGGCAAAATATTTTTTTTTATCGTGGACATAGGCCATATTAATAATCCTGCTGAACATGGGCCCTGCCTGAAACATAGGGCTCAGAATTCTTAATAATGGAGATGCTTAATTATTGATTGTTAAATTAATTTTTCATAACTTCGCAAGCATGACCCTTCCATGATATGATTAATGAGTATAAATAAGAAGCTTCACATTTATTTCTGTTGTTCCGATTAAATTTAGTGAGTAGATAGATGCTTATATTTTTAATACCTTCAAACTAGCTTCATTAGAACTTACTTACATCAAAGTCTGATGTTGCCGTTGTAGGTATTACCATGAGATATACATACAGGAGTGGCACATGATAGTGTTTGTTTGTGTTTGAGAGCAATACTACCACAAGAACCAACTCTCCGAACAAAAATCGTGATTGTGACGTCGCAACTTTATTGTTTTCCGGTGCCTGAAGCTTGGGGTACACGGGACCACACTACCACCCATAAAGTTTGCCCCGTTTACTAAAACATTCGTAAGAGGCACTGCCTCACCTATAGGTAAAGCACATAGGGTATTACCCAGTTTTTGGAAGATAAGTGCTAAATTAAATGAGAAACTTATTTATCCTATCTTTGTTGAATATTGAACATCGTAACAAGAGAAAACTTATCTCTGGGGGCAGCGTTCAACATTCACCATTTAAGGGTGCAACAACGGCATGTTTTACTACAGCGGCGCCGGTGGTGTAGTGCTAAGCGTGATTACCTCTCGCCCCAGCAGGCCTGGGTTCAATCCCAGTCGGCGCCGCCCTGTTGTTCTGAAGGGAAGTAAAGCCGTTGGTCCCCGGTTCATGAGTTTGATGGGTCGATAAGTAGGGTCCAGGTGTGGGAGCTGCCTCCCTGGCGTCGGTAGCATTGGTGCTCAGCACGGAAAACGAGATCGACAGAAACCAAACCAAAGTAAAAAAACGGCATGTTTAGCACATTGAAATTGAAAGCATGATTCCTTAGCTTAGGAAAAAATCATCACGGTAACACAAATTGCGTGTGACAATCAAGTTCAGTAAGCCATAAGCAAAAGGGTCCATCAGACATTGATTCAGTTGCAGACATAGGCCCCTCAATATCACAGAGCCCATCAAAATAGTGACGAGAATGGAGATAGGCCTTTTTGTAATTAGGGAAAAAGTCCTTGGTTGGTTATTTCAATAAAAAGCTGCTTAATGTATCCGCACACATCGTAAAATTTGATTAAAACCCATTTAATAAGGGCTTTTTCACTAATTACAAAAAGGCCTATCTTCATTCTCGTCACTATTCTCATGGGCTCTGTGATATTGAGGTACCTATGTCTTCAACTGAATTAATGTTAATCGTGGTTTGTTTACATTTGGAACATAGGTCCTATTCACATGTTCGGCTAGCACTAAAAGATTTACATCCTGGGTGATTGACGTTAGGAACAAAACTAAGGTTCAAATTGTGCTATAAGAATCCCTGTACGACGATGCAAGCAATTCAGTGCCAACATTTCAAAGGGGCGTAATTGCATTCGTCGATTTCTCGCGGCTCGCATGGGCTCAAATAATTTATTTTGCTGTGCTGGGCCCGCTGTCACGGTATAACATGTTGCCTACGCGCCTGTCACTGGGCTGATGCTCATCGATGCGCGTAGCTACCCTGTGGTAACTAGCGATCGTTGCGCGCCGAGGGGTATTCGTCGTCACATTCCCCCGCCCGTAAACCATTATGTTCGGCTTCCGGTTTACCACCATCTACGACGTCGAGTAACGCCAGTTTTACCACTGGTCTCCGTAATGTTCCGTTGGCCGTCCGCACCCACGCTTGCCGAACCCGTCCATCCTTTCCTTGAATGACCTTATCCACCTTCCCTCTGATCCACTGATTTCGTACCGTATCGTCCACGATCAGCACCAGATCTCCTTCCGCTATCTCCTTCACTTCCTCGAACCACTTCGACCTTCTCGAAATCACCGGCAAGTACTCCTTGATCCAACGCTTCCATATTGCGTCCGTCAAGTGCTGGGCAAGCTTCCATCCACTGTTCAATGTTGCACGATAATCCACGGGCATCGTTGGACATACAGGGAGAGCGTGCATGTCTACGATGCTGTTGAGAAGGCGTGATCCTAGAACAGCTGCTTGACGTTCGAGTCGTGGAACCGTCAGCATCTTCAACGGAGCTACTTTTGATCTCGCTGCTACAAGACTAACCTCAGAACCCTGTGTAGTTTCGACCCGGAAATACGTAGCACATGCATATGTAGATCTGCTTGCATCTACGAATACGTGGACTTGCAAAGATGAATACGTTTCCTCAACAGCGTCTGGAAATTAACATCTCGGCATTCGCAGGTCCAGGTTTGGAACGAGATTGATCCAGTCCCTCCACATCAATCTCAGCTTCTCGTTTAATTGATCATCCCAAACAATACCTGCCGCCCATACATCCTGCATCAGGAAAAACGCAATTAATCCCATTGGATCGAAGAAGCTCATTACTGTGCGGAAGACTTCTCGTTTCTTTGGGATATGAGACTCATCCAGAACATGCTTCAGGTTGTCTCGCAAGGAAACCGTATAGGTAAAGGTGTCACTGCTCGGTATCCACTTCATGCCTAATACTGACTCGATTCGTTCATCTTTTTTTCTGCTTGGATATCCTTCTCCGCTGCCGTTGATTCATCTCCCACTTGCGCTGCAATCGCTGGATCGTTGGACAAGAAGTTACGGATCTCAAACCCTCATTTGGCGTGAATTTTCTTGACCTCGCTGCCAATCTTCATTGCTTCCTCCACAGTTCCGAAACTATCCAGGTAATCATCCACGTAATGGCGATGGATAATGGCCGCTGATGCTCTTGGGAAATCCGCTTCGAACTCTTTTGCGATCAAGTTTTTGATGTACTGAGCGCAGCTCGGCGAGCACGATGCCCCGAAGATAGCTACGTCCATGACGTAGATCACCGGATCTTGACCTGAACGGTCTCTGAACTGGAATCTCAGAAACTGACGATCCTGAATCCGTATGAAGAACCGATGGAACATTTCCTTAATGTCACCGGTTAGAGCAAAACGGTACAGTCGGAAGTTGCCAATGACCGACGGAAGAGATGTCAGGAAATCAGGACCCCTCAGCAATGCCGAGTTGAGTGAAACACCATCGACCGTAGCAGCTGCATCCCAAATGATCCTCAACTTGTTCGGTTTCTTCGGGTTCAGGACAATGCCCAGTGGCAAGTACCAGCATTGATCTGGATCGGTAGTTGACAATTCATAATCCGTAGCCTTGTGCGCATACCCCTTTGCTTCGTAGTCTCGTATCTGCTGCCGAACTCGATCATACAGAACAGGATCTTTATTGAGACGCCTCTCGAGTGAGCACATTCGTTTGTACGCCATTCTATAGCTGCCTGGAAACCGCAAGTTGTCCCACTTCCAAAGCAAACCCGTTTCGAAACCTCCGTCGACTCTTCGGGTAGTAGATTCCAGAAGCATCCTTGCTCGCTTGTCTTCATCGGATTCCAGCGGAGTAGAAGGGTGTGATACGCTGATGTTGTCCAGTGTGATGTAATCACGAACGAGTTGGTTTAGTTCTTGCTCTGGATCGGTCCATCCTCCAACATGAAACCCACAGACAACTGTTGATTGCGGCTCTGACGTACATCCGTAGATGCTCCACCCAATGCGGCTCTTAGCGGTAATTGATTCTTCCCACCTTCCTTCTCTGATTTTTAGCGGCACGGTGAGTTTCAGGTTGTCAAGACCGATCAAGAGTTTTGGGAACACCTTCTTATAGTTCTGTAGCGGTAAACCACGCACTGATCCGCCTTGAATTTGGTTCGCTGCGCTTGATGTTCAGCGGCTCCGTAGTTCCGAGTTGATCTGCAACCGAATCCTCCAGCAAAGTTATCTGCGACCCTTCATCGACGAAAGCCTAGATGTCCACCTTGCAGTTCTTCCCATATAACGTAAACAGGAATGATTCTGAAAAGCGGTCCTCTTAACGTCTTCAACTCGCTAAGATGACTTGTTGATACGGCTGCCTGCACGATTGTGCTTGAGTAATGTAAGAGAGAATGATGTTTTAGTCGGCAATCCTTGATACCGCATTCCTTTGCTGTCTTGCATGACCATTTTCCATGGTAATTTAAACACGACCTGCAAAGACCGCTCTCATGTACCGCCTTCAATCTTCCGTCGATATTCATCGATTTGAACCTGCCGCATTCCGAAACCTGGTGTCCTTCCGCTTTGCATACCACGCACAGTTTCTTCGGTGTTCGCCAACCTGCTGAAGTGTTACTGCCGATTGGTTTGTTCTTTGACGACGATTCTGGCTCTGCGTGTGTCTGGACAAATGAACGCTCCTTGAATTTCGACTTCTGTGGCTTCCCACATGGGAAGTCATCTGCTACATCGTAAGCAAGTTCTACCAAATTTGACATGAATATTCCAAACGTACTCAAGTCCACATCTTGATTCCTGCATTTGAAGGCTGACCATTTGAGCCGATAGCCGATACTCAACAGGCAATTTGCCCACCATGTCATGTAACAGTGATGGGTTGGATAGATGTGCCTGATGTCCCACGTTCTCAAGATGCTGAACCAAATTATCAACCGCCAGTCTGAATTCGATGATACTCTCCACATCATTTGCCTTTAGCGGTGGTAACTGCCGAACTCGCTCCGTTATGCAACGAATGAGTGTTTCTGGTCGTCCGTACCGCATCTCCAAGGTTTTAATGACGTGTGGTACGCTTGTAGGACAAAGTAGTCGACTGCGCACTGCTTCAAGGGCTGAACCCTTTAGACAGCGTTGAA